GTCTAGCACATTTATTTTCTTGTCATTATTACTTACTAGGGATTAAGGCAATGAAGTTAATCTCCTTGATGTGTTCGTGACGTCCAGGGTATGGGTATCGTGATTAAGGTAGATATGGAGATAAGGTAGATGTGTTTGATTCGCGATGTTTAGGGTATGGGTATCTTATGGGTATGATTTTTTAGGTATGGTAATTAAGGTAGATATGGAGATAAGGTAGATGTGTTTGATTCGCGATGTTTAGGGTATAGGTATCTTATGGGTATGAATATTTGTTTAGATGTGTAAATTAAGGTAGGTATGAATAGAACGATAAGTATAATGTAAGTGATGGTAATTTTTTTTCGAAACAAATATAAAATGAAATTGGTGCTTAATTTTCACTCTTGAATCCGTGAATATTACCAACCCCTCTATTCTAAGCATCATATCTAAGGAATACCGAAAAATGGACCTAAAGAGAGAAAGATATAATTTATCTGATAAATATTTTCCATCTGTTGAGCAAGACCCGAGCCCATTCATTCTCAATATCTTATCATCTTTCATTATCTTTTTTATTATTTATTATTTATTTTTTTTATTCTTAACCTTTGCTTATCTTCACCGGCAGAGGAGTCCGTGGCGGCTTGGACAACTCTGGTGGGAGAAAGATGCTTCGGCGGCGACTGGATTTTGGTTTGGGCGGATGGATCCAGATTCAGCGAGAAGGTGACTGGATATGGCGTGGTGAGTGGGCGCTGGCTCTATTTTTTCTCTTTTTTACTCCCCCCTTTCTGTCTGTATATAAATAAATAAATAAATAAATAAATATATATTATTATATATATATATATATATATATATATGTATGCATGTGTGTATGTGTGTGTGTGTGTGTGTGTTGTGTGTGTGTGTGTGTGTGGTGTGTTGTGTGTGTGTGTGTGTGTGTGTGTGTGTGTGTGTGTGTGTGTGTGTGTGTGTGTGTGTGTGTGTGTGGTAAGTTACCTAGCTTGTATGTTATAATCTTGTCTCATTAATATTTCTCCTCTTCAAGAAACATTCTCACATGCCTTTTCCTTCCCCCTCCCTCCCCTCTTCCTTAATATCCCTTCCCTTTCCGTACCTTCCTTTCCTTTTCTCCCTACTCTCCTTTCCCTTCCCTCCCTCCCCTCTTTTCCCCTTCCTCTCCTCCCATCCCCTCTTATCGAAATCGCCTCGTTTCCCCTTCCTCCCCCTCCATCCCTCTTTTCGAAATCTCCTCCTTTCCCTTCCCTTCCCCTCTTCTTCCATCTCCTTTCTTCTCAACGTATAGACCGCAGGCTTGACGGCTTTCGGAACAGACAGCAATGACCAGCAGCGGGTCTGTTTCGCGCTCGAAGGGTCCGAATTCGTGGCTCATGCTTGCAACGGGTCGACGGCTACGACTTCGATGAACGTCGTGTGTCTCACGCCGTAAGTTATGGCTTATGTTTAGGTTTGAATGGCGGTTATGTTTTGGATCTGATGTATTTGCTTTGATTGGTGTATCTGTTTATTATTTTTGTTTGTTGAAAGATACATGATATGTTTTTTTTTATGTGATAGTTATGCTTTTTCTGTTCTTTTTAGAATGTAATTTTTTTACCTCTGGTCCTTCTTAGCAGATAAAAGTCATCTTTCAAATCTAAAATCAAATGTTTTTAACTTGTCCTCCTTATATGATAAAAAATTTCGTTTATGATCTTTCTTCCAAATTAGAAATTTGTATTTTCCCTAACCCTCTTTAGAGTAGAAATGTAATTTTCTTAATACTGCTTGTATTGGAATAAAATGGAGTAGGCCTACAATACAGCTTGGTATTTAACTTTCAAATGCTCTTATCACTTCCCACAAGCATATACATATTGCCATTTTAATATCATTATTAACAATAGCTTTTATACAGCAGATAACTCAAAACCAGTCATTTTTTTACATTAAAGATAATCAAAACAAAGCAAAATTCCTTTCAACCCAAAATGAACTTGATTCAACTAAAACCGATCAGAACCCAGACCGAAAAAAATAACTCACGGAACCAAAAGTGATCTTTTGTCAGAACACTCACATAGAAAAAAAAAACTTTGGGTTCTTCGATTATGTCCAGCAATTTTTGCTTTTTTGTCTTACCTTCCAGTTTTACCTTCTACTAAAATTAAAGCTAAAATTAATCTTCTCCATTTGAATCCTTGCTACCATTAAAATAAGCTTTTCATTGCAGTCCCTTTACTTGAAATATAATTAAAATTATCAAAATGACCGTAACTAAAGCCAAACTTCTCTATCCGAACAGTCCCATCGTTTTCAAGTCGGTGAACCAAACGGACGACGCCACCTATGACAGCCAGGACTCCGTGTGCAGGAGCGAAGGCGGGAAACTGCTTCCTCGTCTCACCCAGGCCAACTTGAAAGACCTTGTTTATTACTGTGGGTTGAGTATTTATTTGTTTTCTTTTCTTTGAAATTGTAGTATTTAGTCTTAAGCCGTCTTTGCTAGATTATGGAAAGTGCCAACGCATTAGTCTTATGCCGTCTTTGCTAGATCAAGGAAAGTGCTAAAGCGTTAGATTTTTTTCCATTGCTAAGGAGGCGTTCAGGGTTTCGGCATCGCGTTGTGCTATTCTACGTCATCCCTTTAATGACCCATGTAACCCTGGAAATCAGCCTGAAATTCGTTACCAGAGGCCTACATCGTGGCTTTTGTGCTCATTTTATTACCAGATAAGCCTAGCTGTGCTTACATTTTACAAAAGAAATTCGTTAAATATATTTCTATATCATTCTGTATCCAGAGATCAAAGAAAGATACCATAAGCACTGATTTTTTTTCATTTGCCATTGGAAGTATTTGGAAACCTTTTCTTTCAATGAGTTTCAAAATACGCCGTGGATATTGTTCCGGCATCGGATTTTATAACAGTTTGGCTATTCGTCCGGCATACACTCGCGCTTGCACACTGTCCATAATTCTGTCTTTGTCATTTCACGCAATATTCATAGTCGGATCGAGACTCTGCTGGGATATTTTTCCGGCGTTTTTTTGTCGGAAGCCTGCACTGAAGAGCTATTTTTCCGGCATGGGCGCACGTCATCAATATTTTAAATTATTCTTAGGACCGAGTAGACATACATGCTAAGTTTGCTACAGTTTGGTATTTATGTGATTTTCAATCCTATTCTGTGATTTTATCGTGCATATTAACGATAGGACCGCACCCGTCAACAATGTTGGGGGATCCCGTGGGGATTCGGGTGTTTGGGGGGGGGTGATTTCGTTCATAACATGCATTAAAAAAAAAAAGGAAATTGAAAATCCGAGCCAAGGATAGCATTTCAGATAAAGAAAGTGAAAAATGTAGGAACCCGAGAGAAGATTCGGCCTCGGATGATTCGACACGGTGTTGCGCGAACGAACGGTCGAGTGAACCGCATCTTAAACGCACGAACTACCAGTAGGATCGCCGTATGAACCAATAATCCCTCCTAACCCTGTGGCTATGCCCCCGAATCCCCTCCCGATTGCCGTATTTCCCTATCGGGGCCTTCGCCCCGGACCCCTCCTATTGTCATATATCCCGATGCAAGAAAACACTAAGTAGTACTTCAACTCTGGCTTTACTTTCTTATCCGGTGTACCCGTCAAAGCTGCAGCGACAGTCCTTGAATCTTTGACATAAAACTGTTCAAAATTCAGTTCCAACTTTGAAGGAATCCATAATCGATGATCGACCCTTAGCCATGAACAATGGACAACATACATATAGCGCCAAAGTTTGTATGCAAGGCTAATGCGCAAGCGCGAGTGTGTGTTTGCGCGCAAATAGTTAGTGCGCATGTATGCCGGACGAATAGCCAAACTGTTATAAAATCCGGTGCCGGAACAATATCCACGGCGTTCAAAATAAGTGCTGACCGATTCATGCACTTAATGCTCCTTGTGCTCATCTCTATATAGTTAATGTCCTGTCTTCATTTCCATGTGAAGGATCATGTATAATGTGGCATTACCGCTCTTGGAAAGCAAATGAGAGACAGGCAGAGAGGAGTGGTGGATGTGTTAAAGAGAAAGAGAGAGAGAAAGCGAAATGAAGAAAGAAAGAGAGAGGGGAAGGGGGCGAGAAAGAGAAGCAAGAGAGAGAGAGTGAGAAGACAAGAGAGGGTAAGAGAGAGAGGGAGAGAAAGAAAGAGAATGAGAAAAGAAATAGAGAGAGATTTTGGACAAGTCGAGCGGTCATCCGTGCTATTATGGTATTGCTGATACTTGGGCGTACTGTGTGGAATGAGGTGTAAAAGATTTTTCCCTAGCTTACCTTATGCCTGGCAATGCATTCAGCAGCCAATCAGCAGTTAGGGCGAGCATTGACGTCGTTTGCTAAACTCCAGACATGTTGGACTTTCGAGCCAACAAGAGACGGCTATAATTTTTTGTGAGTTTTGTTTTAGGTTTGTTTCTCTCATTTCTTTTTTTAGTAGTTTTATCTGTCAGTTGTTTCATTTTCTTTCCTGTTTTGAGAATTGTTTTGGATTTTTTTCTTCTCAGTCTTTTCTCTTTAGTTTTGCTGGTTAACTTAGTAATATTCTTTTCAGTTTTCTTAATTTACACTCATGTCTCATAACATATTTACGAAATATACACGCCATTATATATATAAATAATTATGCATATAATAACAATGATACTAATACAAGAAAACAATCTAATAAATCTTCATAATACAGACGGCAAACTGACAGCTTGGACGACAATGGTGGGGGAAGTGTGCCAGGGAACAGACTGGTCTCTGGTGTGGCCGGACGAAACGAGGGCCGATAATGAGACGCTGAATCTGCCATGGGTGAGTAAAACGATGACGTTCCCTTCGGCTTTAGAGCGGTAAGCCGGAGTTTAAGTTGGTCTGAACCTGTCAGTGGAGATAGTTTTCCGAACGGATCGAGGCGGCTTGGAAGGATCAGTGGTCTCGAGAAAGGTTGGTGTGAACCTGCCCGTGGCGCTAGTTTTCCGAACGGATCGAGGTGGCTCGCACTCTTAAACCAGAGTACCGGCTTGGAGGGATCAGTGGTCTCGAGAAAGGTTCTTTTATGATTTATTTTTCGATATTGAATTCTTTGGAAATGAACCAACGAAATCCAAATCCGACTTCCATTTTGGTCAGTGGTCTTTCTCTTTCCTGTTTCCTTTTATTGTTATTTACTTTTTTTATTTTTTTTTTTCTCTCTTTCTCTATTTTATTTATTTTCTTTCTGTCTCATTCATTCCTCGCTTCCCTTCCTTCTGTCTGTCTCTCTGTCTCTCTTCTCTCTCTCTCTCTCTCTCTCTCTCTCTCTCTCTCTCTCTCTCTCTCTCTCTCTCTCTCTCTCTCCTCTCCCTCTCCATCCCTCTCTCTCTCTCTGTCTCTCTCTCTCTCTCCTCTCTCTCTCTCTCTCTCTCTCTCTCTCTCTCTCTCTCTCTCTCTCTCTCTCTCTCTCTCTCTCTCTCCTCTCTCTCTCTCTCTCTCTCTCTCTCTCTCTCTCTCCTCTCTCTCTCTCTCCCCCTCTCTCCTCCCCCTCCCTCCCTTTCTCAAATTCTCTCCGGCTCCTCTACCCAATAAACCTACTCCTCACCCACCTACCAATGGCTTCCACAGTCCCCAGGCCTCACGTCTTTCGCCAACGCGTCGGGAAACGTGAGCGAGGAACTGAGGGTGTGCTTCATCATTGAGGATTCGCAGTCCCTTGTTGCCCAACCGTGTGTGGGTTCTGGCAGCAAGAGTGTTCTGTGTACTCGCGCGTGAGTTTTGTGTTCGATTAGCGTGTATTTTCACGTATGTGTAGATGCATGCTTGTGGGGGTATATGTTTAAGCGCCCGTGTATGTGTATATATGCACAGGCGCGCGTGTTCACACATACATATGCACGTATACAAACGCATTTGTAGACACACACGCACACGCACCCACACATACAAACACACGCACACGCACCCACACACATACAAACACACGCACACGCACCCACACATACAAAACACACACACACATACATATACTAACAAACAGAAACAAATTAGCAAAAATAAATTGCCTAATTAATTGGTCTTTATTCCTCTGTATTTCGTTTTGTTCTGGGAGATAAACTTTACATTATACATTCTAAACAAATTATAGAAATAATTTTCACATAAGAGAGCGTTACAGAACTTGGTAACTATTCTACCTGGATGACCCACCTTAAACCTATATCGAAATAAATCATCCACAATCTATCAAAACAAATCATCCCAAGTCCACAAACCAAATAACCTTTTGACTTGACTTCCCTAACTTAGCCTTACAACGTACCTGTCAATGGAGAGGACCACCAACGGAAGCTTTGACAGCCAGGACGCCTTGTGTGCGGCTGAGGGAGGTCAAGCCGCGACCAGGTTTGACATCGTTAACCTCCAAGAGCTGGAGTATTATTGTAAGTCATGTTTTGATGTTGTTGTTGTTGCAGAATGTCTTTCGACTGGTAGGAATGGAGTGCTGGTAGCAAATAAATTTAGGAAATGTATGAATATGTTAAAAGGCACTCATCTATGTCACCAATAACAAAATAATTATCTAATTCTACTTAAAAAAGCACAAAAAAACTAGAAAATGCATCGCGGAGAGAAGAAAGTCAAACACAAACGCCGTGATGAACATATGATAGCACAAACGACACTAAACCAAACGTCTATCCTCGATACAATGAATATACCAATAAAAACTAAATAAAATAAACAAAAAACAAAATAAAGTAAATGTATCGACAAAAAATAGAAGAAGACACGCTCCACGGTGTAAATAAACACAAAAAGACCTCTCACTTCGGCAGACGGTTCAGTGAGAGCCTGGACGACGATGCTGTATGAAGTGGCTCCCAAATTAATCGGTTGGAGTCGCAAGGAGGTTTGGCACGATGGCGAGAGCGTTTCTGTTTCAAAAATTGATATTCCTGTGGTGAGTCGAGTGTATGGGTCAGAAGAGAGATGGGAGAGGAGAGATAGAGAGGGGCAGACGGGAGGGAGAGAGGGAGAGAGAAGGAGAGATCGAGAGGACAGGCAGGAAGGGAGGGAGAGGGATGGGAAGGAGAAAAGATTGACTGGTATGGAGGGAGGGAGGGAGAGAGAAGGAGAGATAGAGAGGGACAGGCAGGAAGGGAGGGAGAGGGATGGTGAAGAAGAAAGATTGACAGGTATGGAAGGAGGAGAGGGAGAGAGAAGGAGAGATAGAGAGGGACAGGCAGGAAGGGAGGGAGAGGGATGGGGAAGGAGAAAGATTGACAGGTATGGAGGGAGGTAGAGAGAGAGGACAGGCAGGAAGGAGGGAGAGGGATGGGGAAGGAGAAAGATTGACAGGTTGGAGGGAGGGAGGAGAGAGAGAGGAGAGATCGAGAGGAGAGGATGGGGAAGGAGAAAGATTGACAGGTATGGAGGGAGGAAGAAAGACAGAGAGAAAGAGGAGAGAGGAAAGAGATAGAGAGAGAGAGAGAATAGAAAAATGACACAGCAAAGGTGAGAAAAGATACCGAATCAGCCACAGAAAATAAAACAAAGTGACAATAAAAATAAATCAAACGAACAAACCTGTATACCCACAACAACCGATCCCCTTTCTCTTCCCACTTGACAGAATCCAAGTGAAAAGTATGAAGTCGAGAAAACCTTCTGCTTCGTCTTCAGGAACACGTCGATGCTCGTCACCCAAGAGTGCTTCGACAACAGGACCCTCATGAGCGCCCTCTGCGTGTTCGTCTGAGGGCTTCCTTACCCCAAGGGCGAGGCTTATGGGGGTGGTGGCGGGCGTATGGTGGTTATGGTGAGGGAATTTTCATGGTGTATGTGATTCTTATGGTGGGTTATGGGTGTGGAGTTCATATTGGTTTATGATGGTTTCATATGGTGATTCTTATGGTGGGTTATGGTGATGTGGAATTCATATTGGTTTATGGTGGGTTATGGTGATGTGGAATTCATATTGGTTTATGGTGGTTATGGTGATGTGGAATTCATGTTGGTTTATGGTGGTGGCGGGCGTATGGTGGTTACGATGGCGTGTGGTGGTTATGACAATGAGAAATTCATTTTGATTTATCATGATTCTTAAGGTGATTATGGTGATGTGGAATTCATGTTGGTTTATGGGGATTCTTAAGGTGGTTATGGTGATGTGGAATTTATGTTGTTTATGTGGTGGTGATGTATGGTGGTTCGATGGCTTGTGTTGGTTATGATGTGAAATTCATGTTGGTTTATGGTTATGTGGAATTCATGTTGGTTTATGGTGGTAGTGGGCGTATGGTGGTCACGATGGCTTGTGTTGGTTATGGTGATGCGAAATTCATGTTGGTTTATGGTGGTGATTATGGTATGTGGTGGCTATGATGATATGAACTTGATGTTGGTGTGTGGTGGTTATTATGGTGTGTTGTGATGGTGAAGTGGAATTTTGGTTGGATTATGGTGGTTATGAGGGGATAGGATGAGCATAATAGCACATGATAATTATTATGATCAGTGGTGGCTACGGTGGTATGTGATTGTGGTGACATGTAGTGACTATGATGACGTTATGCTTCACAGGGTATGCAATGGTTATGCTGCATATGATAATGGTGACCTACATAATGGTATCAACTTCATGGTGGAAAAGGCAAATTATTATGGCAAATGAAGAGGGCATGGAAATGTATTAAGACTGGTAATGCATCTGTGTTTTAGAAGTTTCACCTTGTCACCTTTTGCGTCTCACTTTCCCATCCTTTCTTGCATGTATCAAGTTTCATAATTACTAATAAGTATATAGTTAATGATAATAATTACTAATAAGTATAAGTAATGATTGCTAATAAGTATATAGTATATAATAAGTAAGAAGTCTATATATATAAGCATAATTATGATAATTACTAATAAGTATATTTTACATCTCACCATTTAAATATATCGTCTGAACACATAAGATAGAATGACTTACCATAGATCTACAGGTAATTATAATAATTGCTAATAAGTATACCGACGATTAAGTATTCCAGTGCACGAAAACCAGTTGATTTTGGGTAAAAGCTTAAGCTGGTTTATAGAAATGTAATTCACTTGTTAGATTGCCTTGCTTCTGTTTACAAGTTTATGAGTATATATATGGTAATGTCAGAAATGAAAAAAAATGGAATTTGCAGTAAGGATTCACGAATCCTTTTCAAGTGGATTCAAAAGATGTGTTGCCCATCTTAAAAATCAGGCTAGTGTTTTTAATTAAAAAATAAAATGGATGTTTGTAAGGTAAGGCCTTCATGTAACCATTTGCCTCTCAAAACAATTCACAAAACTGACTAACTTCAAATTTTGAATGCATCTTTTCCTGGCCTTGCTTCATTCTAGTTTAGATACATCTGCAATACCGTACATAAGAGAATGTCTTTTCTGAGACCGTTCAGCTTGCTTCTGAGGATCGATCGTGTGTCAGTCTGCTAACCTAAAATGTGCACGTTCATTTTGCTTCTCTTTAATGTAATTCTAACCTTCATTACGAATTCTTCCGCCAAAATTCTTGTTTTATTCTTCATTGAAAGAATATATCTGAGGTCCTAGTTTTTTTCTGTTCATGGAGGAATACAATTGGAATCTGATTATCAAAATAATGCATTTACATGATGATTTTGTCTAGAAGTGAGCAGAGTTCATTGTGACAATAGTTGAAGATAAAATGAATGAGAGCGAACAATTTAAATCTTGTGATGAATATTTAATGAAACTCATCAAATATGTAGCTTGCACTGTGAAGTAGTTTGGTCTCATTCATACATTTTGAAACATCTGTCTAGCAGGCATAATGAAACGCTTATCACTGTTTTCTCTTCATTTTATATCAATGCGCATGTAATCGACACTTTATCGCTATGATCCTTTGTCAATATAATGCTTTCAAATAAACCTCTTAATATCTACCCTGATAAGTTTATGTATTCTGTACCTACGTCAAAATAATTTCCATGAATCCATTATCTTTTTTGTCGTCCTTTGTGTGTTTGAGATTTGTTGATTATGAATATAATCATCATCGTCTCGCCGTCGTCGTTATCATCATTATAATTAACTTAATATCAATAATACTGCATAACCTAACCCGAAATTTGCTAAAAACAACAACAACAAAAAACGTTGCTATGCGAATCCTGGTGCGAGGACATATTTATTCAGGTTAATTTTGAAAATTCACATGTAATTACTTCAAGTAAACGAGGACTACCCACACCAGCAAACACAAGGACAATCTTCCAGGTATTTTTTTTTTTCTTTTAACTCATAAACCTTTGAGATTATACAGCAATCAGTCACCAAGAATACCAGCTTTAGTCTGTATTTACACGAACGGTTTCACAAATTGCGAGGATTAATTAAACAGCCGGAAGAATACGAATTAATTCTGAGAAAAACGGTATAAGAATGTTCAACAGGTTAGATTTTTGTCGCCTACGCAAAGAAGAAAAAAATAATGAAGAAAGAGAGCAGGATGAATAATGTAATAGAAACAGATTTCGACACGTTGATAGTTGCTGTTAAAAACTCTTCCGCTTTACGTATATTCATCAACCTACCTGCTAATCAGTCTTTTTTTAATTTTTTCTTTGGTTCATTCATATCACACACACACATGCACACATATGTGTACATATATACTCATGTATACACACACATACACACACAACACACATTTGTATTGTGTGCATATATATATGTATATACATACATATATATGTTTTATGTATGTATACATATGTGGAATGTGTAGCCTACCATGCACAAGAATAATTACTAATGGTACGATAGCGATGAGAGAGGTGAGGGACGCGAGAGTACATTCTGAATTCTGGAGGAGAGGAGCGACCGGATTGACAGAAAGTACGTGCAGATGTGTTCCTGAATAAACCCCCTAAACCTAGCAGGCTGGGTCTCATTTAGCCATCTCACATGGCGCAGTGATTCGGAACTATGGCGGGACGAGAACTAGGAAGCTTTACAGAACAAATATCGGCAGAGATTACAGAGCTGGGAAATGCCTTGGGCGAGCCGGCGAGTCACCGATTGGAGCACAACAATGAACGGCGACTTGCACCAGACAAAGCCAGGATCCACAGAACCAAGGTATGAATAAGGACAGGCTGACGAACATGTTATTTTCTATCGCGAGTGCACCAGTACAAACACGAGATCAAGACGACCGTGTGTGGTGCTGGAAAAGTGCAATGTTGGTGTCGCTGCAGCAGCAGCCTATCAACATGACGACGCTTGGTGGAAGAATGCCTTGCAAGTGGCAATGTGAAGAATCATGTGCAGCGGATTAGGCTACTGTGCATGAGTGAGCTTCAGCAGCTTTTAGACTGTAAGTACAGTGTTTTGGAGTGGTCGTCATTCAGCATTCAGGAAGCTTTGAAAGCAGTCGAAAAGTACGCATTATGGAATTAACGGCGCTCTGAAATCCATAGAAGTGTGATTTTGAGTGCCTTGGTTGCTCATGTGATTTAAATGCATTGATGTTAGTGAGAAAAGTGTTGTCAGGCATTATTGAATGTCTGTTGAAAAGAGAAGTGTATGTGAATTACAAAGAAATATTTAGTCATGAACAAATTGTGGGATAAATGTGAGTGACACGACAGCGTTGAGAGAGAGGCATAGGTGTGGCGGGCTGCAGTGGTTGAGGAAGAGGTGGAGGCAGAATGTGCCACATTAGACGTGTGTCCAGCTGGACGTCCAAGTGTCAGTGAGAGGACACGGGCATCTCATCTTTGGATTGGCAGTTGGCATGGAAAGGATGCAAGGTGTCCGGTGGCAGACCAGACATACAGGAAGTGTGGGAGATGTGGACACTTTGCCAGGTTGTACAAGAAGAAAATGGAAGCAGCACCATCCCTAGCCTATGGAGCGGTACTGGCTGTGTCAGTTGTGACCCCTCACCAGCGATAAAGGTTCGTGTGCGGAAGATGGATGACACAGAATACATGGAATTGATGGCAGTGGCAGACAGGAGCTCTAGTGTCGGTAGCAGACCTGGTACTTCTCAGAGGGCTGAAGATGCCTGTGAAGTAATTATTAAGCTCCATGCTTTAAATATCTCTGAATAGCAGCAAACTCAAACAAAAATGTGCAAAAGATCTTTGTAAATACTTCTCGTAGTGTAAATTCTTCTCGTAGCTGAACCATAATCGATCTAGTAAAATGATATTCGTTTTTCCTCTTTGCCAGAACCAAACACTTATTTTGAATAAACAGAAATCATGCTACATTAGATTCTTCTTTACAGAATGCATAGATGCTTCATCATTGTGTGTGTGTGTGTCCATAGAAATACGATGTCACTGCTTAGTGACGAGTTATAAAACAGTATGTTTAATGCGTTTCGGTTATTTAGAATGTCCTTTATCTTGTGCTAAAATCTGATCATAGTTTTTTAGCTTCATGCACCGAGGTGAAATCAGTGGACAATTCCCACGTTGTGTCTCGGCAAATGCACCTTGAAGAAAGGGGCATTTGGGATAAGTGCAAAAGTGTACGCCTTGAGGTCAGCGTGGCGAGAAGTTCTCTCTACTGTCACATATCCAGCCATACAGTTGAGAGTCATTGGGAAGCTAAGGTGAAGCGGCAGTTGGATGAGGACACAAAAAGGGGAACAATCATTCCAGTGCCAACAGATGAACCAGTGGAATGGTGCGTTTGTATGGTATTGGTGAGCAAGCAGAATGGGCAGACTTGGAGGAATTAATTATCAAGAATTGAACAAGTGCAGAAGAAAAACATTACATCAGGACACCGTTTGATATGGTAACAGAGGTCCCGAGGTACAGATT